TCTTGGATAGTAATTAAAACTATAAGCTACGAAAATACTGTTTAAATCCAATCCATGTGGATACGATATTTTTTATACTATATTCGACTAGCGAGCATAATTTTGTGTTGTGTTTTTAGCTCGTCAATGAGTGAGTCATAGCAATTTCCTGCAAAAAGAACGATAATAAGTATGTACTCTGATGGTACAAGGCAGACCAATCATCCGGTGAACAACAATGTTGGATTGCATGTCTAATTTTTCAGTAATTAGAGCCATGAAGTTATATGTAACAATTTAGCCATTATCAACCAATTTAACAGAGTGCCAAGAATAGAGATTTAGGGTACTCATACTTCCCCCTCCAACTATATTGGTGCAACATACTTTTTTTAAGGGCAAACAGTAAGGTAGCTTGCAATATCATCGCACATTGGCAGATTTAGGTTGCCCGTGGACATAGTGACTTTACTCTGGTGCTACGGTTCCACAAACACAAACAAAAAGGATGCTAACTCAAGCTATGCATACTAAAAAGATTGAGTACAAGGGTTACCCCACACTTAGAATTCAGAGCATATTGCAAGTCAACATTTAACACCACTGCAACTTACTGTATCCATATAAGGGCGCAACTAGCACACAAGGCGTCCATGCACTCTATTTTCAAGTACCAAAAAAGAGCATAACCTTCAACACAATAGACATAGGCTCGTTGTCAAGTACCACATATGATATATGAGAGTATGGCCTAGGGCCTCCAGTTGTACAAGCGACAAACATGTGATACTACAATATAGCTCTTGCCAGATGATCACTACACCTAGAACGACATTCAAGGTCCAGTTCATAAGAAGAGGACGTGGTTACTCAAACTTCACCATTTAAACCAAATTATAATTGGGATAATTCAGCAAACACAATATGTGCACAATCGTTTAAACACATATTTTTCACAATACAAATAAAGGACTGCCCTACCACGAGTCTTTCAAGAAGCAAAATTGGCAAACCATACACCTTAGCACATAAACTCAATAATTCTTCCAAAAGTATTAATGAAATTCCAATTGTCCCCAAAAACTAAAGTAAAAATCTGCTCAACATAGAATCACAAGTGACATGGAATTTAGAGTGAGAATTTACAGTAGGGGAGTAGAGAATAGAGCAAAATAATAGGGCAACATCAGACCTAAGTTCGAACCCTAGGTCGCCTAACTCTAATGGTCACGACAGAAATACCATAGAAGAAACAAAATAAAATAAAGAGAGAAGAGAAGCAAAAGAAGAAAGAAATAACAGAGAGAGAGAGAAGGAGAGACAGAAGGCTGATACATGTTCACCGACGGAGGGATATGGTGGGTGAAGATGAGACGTGAAGGGGTGTATGGGAAAGGTTGCAGGTGATCAGAGGGAGAGAACGTGGGCGGAGATGAGGCGTGAAGGGGGTGTGGGTAAGGTTGCAGGTGATCGGAGAGAGAGTGTGTGATTGTTTTTTGAATTAGAGTTAAATATTAGAGAGGGGCTGAGATTAAAAAGTCAAAAAAAACTGAACTTACCTAATTAATTCTAAATACCGATGAGCGCACAACAATGCACAAATGCGCTGATTTTTGCACTTTTTAAGAGGACAATTGAGCGCGTGGTGACCCTGCGTCGCACAACACAATATTCTCAAAACTTTAAAAACCTCACATTGAGCATGCATTACAGCGAAAATACACGGTTTTTTAACCATTTGACCCAAGAATCAATTACTCCACACCTTGCGCCGCGAGGTCAACGTGCGCTCTTACTCCGCTATTCCTGCAACTTTCACTACTAATATTACAAAGCATAAAAATTAGTACTTACCTTTTTTTTTACATATATATCTAATTCCTATAAGCTAAAACTAAAACTATGGTTCCTAATTTTGTTTTTTTAAATATTGAATACTTAAGCAAAATTAACAATTATGAGGAAGGTTAGAAACTTGAGTTGTCTCCCAAGAAACGCCTTATTTAACATCGTGGTATGAGTTAATGGCTCAGATCAAGGATCTTTTAACTCTATCACAGACACTAGTCTATGTCCCTCAACCAATCCATGGTAATGCTTCAAACGCAGACCATTTACTTGAAATTTCCTACTACCATCCTCGTCCTCAACTTCAACTGATCCAAATGGAAATACCTCAACCACTCTGAAGGGCCTGACCATTTCGTTTTCAACTTCCTGGGAAAGAGTTTGATCCTTGAATTATATAATAATACTTGATCGCCGACTTTAAATTCTCTATTAAAGATGTGCTTGTCATGATCTTATTTCATCCGCACTTAATATAACTTTAAACTCTCATAAGCTTGTAGGCGGAACTTATCTAACTCATTTAACTCGGTTAGTCTTTGTGCTCCAGCAGCCTCCAAATCCAAGTTCAAACACTTCAACCCCCATAGAGCCTTATTCTCAAGCTCTACAGGTAGATGAAACGACTTTCCAAATACAAGCTTATATAGTGACATCCAAGAGGAGTTTTAAATGCAGTGCGATATGCCCATAACGCTTCATCTAATTTATTTGCTTAATCAGTCCGAGTGCCATTAACTGTCTCTGTGAGGATGTTCTTAATTTCTCTATTTTTCGCCTCTACTTGACAACTCGTTTGTGGATGATAAGGTGTTGCAATCTTATGGCGAACGCCATATTTTTCCAAAAGCTTGTCAAAAGCTCAGTTGCAAAAATGAGCGCATGCATCACTAATTATTGCCCTTGGAGTACCAAATTTGGTGAAAATATTTCTTTTTAGGAACTTGATCACTCCCTTGGCATCATTTGTTGGCATTGCCACTGCCTCGACCCACTCTGACACGTAGTCAACTGCAACTAAGATGTATTTATTATTGAATGAGCTGACGTATGGTCCCATGAAGTCGATACCCCATACATCGAATACCTCAACCTACAGATTTGGTCGCATAGGCATCTCATGTCTTTGGGAAATATTACCTATGCGCTGGCACTCGTCACTCTTTTTTACCTAGTTGTGTGCATCTTTGAAGATTATTGGCCAATAGAAACCTGACTCAAGAACTTTTGTTGTTATTCCGATTACTCCGAAGTGTCCTCCATATGGAGAAGCATGGCAAGCCTGCAAAATAGATTTTATTTCTTTCTCGGGAAAACATATCCAAATCATATTGTCAATACAAATACGAAATAGGTACGGTTCATTCCAAAAGTATGAATTGTAGTCATAAAATAACATTTTCTTTTGATCAGGAGAAAAATCAGAAGGTACCATACCGATTGCTAGATAGTTTGTTATGTCTGCATACCATGGAACCATGTCAAGTGAAGCGGTCAATAACTGCTCATATGGAAATTTTTCTTGAATCTCCTCTATTTCCACTGCATTCTCAGCTGTTTCTAGCTGGGAAAGGTGATCTGCCACTTGGTTTTTAGTCCATTTTCTGACTCAAATCTCTAAATCAAACTCTTGCGGGAGTAACACCCTACGAAACAACCATGGCTTGGATTTCGTCTTAGATATCAATTACCTGAGAGTTGCATGGTCAATATAAACGATTACCTTTTAGCCTATCAAGCACGCTCTAAACTTATCAAATGCATACACCACTGCCAACATCTCGTTATCTGTTGTGTTGTAGTTAAGTTGTGCCCCACTCAACATTTTGCTTATATAATAGATAGGATGCATGATCTTGTCCTTCCGTTTTCCCAGAACAGCTCCTATAGTATAATCGCTTGCATCACATATAAGCTCGAATTATTGCTCCCAGTTAGGTGCAACAATGATTGGCGCAGTTACTAACCTCTTCTTCAATTCTTCAAATGCTAGCGTACAATTATTAAAAACACAAAAGGGTGATTTGTTTCAAGCAATTTACACAATGGATTAGTAATTTTAGAGAAATCTTTGATAAACCGTCTATAGAAGCCGGCATGACCGAGAAAATTTCGTATTGCTTTAACAGAAGTGGGTGGTGGCAACTCCTATATTACATCGACCTTGGCACAGTCGAACTCTTTGCCTTTGCTGGAAACTCGGTGCCCTAAGACTATGCCTTCCTGTACCATGAAATGGTATTATTCCTAGTTTAATACTAAATTCGTTTATGTACACCTTTTCAAGACCCTTTTCAAATTTCTCAAGAAATCTTCAAAAGATTTCCCCACTACCGAAAAATTATCCATGAATATTTCCATCGTGTACTCCACCATATCCGTGAAAATGTCCATCATATACCTCTGAAATATGGCCGGTGCATTGTACACTCCAAATGACATCCTGCGAAATGCATAAGTACCATAAGGACAAGTAAATGTGGTCATTTTTCTGTCCTCGGGGGCAATGTGAATCTGGTTATACCCTAAATAACCATCCAATAAAGAAAAGTACTCTCTCCCAGCCAGTCTGTCCAACATCAAATCGATAAATTGAGGTGGGAAATGGTCTTTTCTGGTGGCATTGTTAAATTTACTGTAATCCATACAGATGCGCCATCAAGTAACAATCCTGGTAGGGATCAACTCATTATTTTTATTATTTATCACACACATCTCTCCTTTCTGGGGGACACATTAAATGGGGTTCACCCATGTGCTATTAGAAATAGGGAAAATGATGCCCACATCTAACCACTTTATAACTTCCTTTTTCACCAAATTCTTCATGTTCGGGTTTAGCCTTCTTTGATGTTCTATGGAAGGTTTGTGTCCCTCTTCCAATAGAATCTTATGTATACATAAAGCAGGGCTAATACCCATGACGTCCGATTGTCCAACCTATGGTAGTCTTATATATATTCTTGCAATGCTTGTATAAGCAGCTCTACCTACACATCTCGCAACCCTGATGAGATAATAATAGTTAAAGTAGAGTTAAGCCCCAAGAATGCATACGTGAGGTGACTTGGTAATGGCTTCAATTCTAACTAAGGTGGTTCCTCAATTGATGGCTTGGCAGGTGGTGTCTTTCTCTCATATGAATTTAGTGGTTCAAACCTTGGCTCTCTTTGCTAATATCCTTGGTCTTCAAGAGCCAAGACCCACTCTGCTAAATCTTTACCATTCAATTTATCCAGATTCAGTAAACAAGTTTCGAAGGGATGTGCAGGATGAACAATTTCCTCCTCTTCTTGGACTATCACATTCACCACTTGCAAAATTGAACATTCTCCAATGTCACTTGGTCCTTTCATTGATTTTTGTACATGGAAAACAACTTCTTCATCGTTCAAATGCATCTTCAATTCCCCTACTTCACATTCAACAAGCGCTCTTCCCGTAGATAAGAAGGGTCGTCCCAATATGAGTAGGACGTCAATGTCTACTTTGCAATCTAAGATAACAAAATCTGTAGGAAAATGAACTTGTCAAATTGTACTAACACATCATCGGCAATACCTTGTGGGCGTGCTAGGGTACGATCAGCAAGCTGCAGTCGCATAGCTATCAGCCTTAGCCTTTGTAGGCCAAGTTTTCTATAAATGGCTAGAGGCATCATATTGATGTTGGCTCCCACATCACATAATGCATTGACAAAATAATAATCCCCTATCGCGCACGGAATGGTGAAACTTTCAGGATCTTCTAATTTTTGAGCCATGGGCCTAGCAACTGCAACACTACATTCCACTAACAGCTTTACTGTAACTATGTCCTGAAAGTCAATCTTCTTTAACAAGAAGTCTTTCATCATTTTAGCATACATAGGCATATCTTTCAGTGCCTCCAGCAATGGAATATTTACACTCAACTGTTTTAGGATTTCAAAGAACTTCCTATACTGATCGTCCTTCTTTTGCCTTGTGAATCTTTGAGGGAATGGTGCATGGGCCTTTTTCTGTACAACTAGCCGTTCTGCTTCTTTTTCCCCTCCTTCGATCTCACTTTTTCCGGCACTACTGATAAGTAGGGATTTTGACCGTTTATTTGCTCTATTTTACTTGCGTTTTAACTCAAAGATGCTAAAAGGTATTCCCAAAAATTAATAAAATATTCTTTTGTACAAGAACATTGGAAAATGAGCCAAAGAAGTCAAAACTAACTCATAAAAGAGTCAAAAATGGACAAGGACCAAAACAAGGCAAAAGCCCCACAATGCGGACTGCACAATAGTGTGTGCGGCCGTAAAACAAAGAAAGAGCCATGTCAGTTTTCCTACAGAGTATGCGGACCGCACAAATATGGTGCGGCTGCAGAAGAGGAGATTTAGAGAGCTAGTTTTGGGCAAGTTGAAGGAGTGCGAACCACACCATAATTGTGTGGCCCCAGAATGACAAGTGCGGCCGCACTCAATATTATGCGGCCCACAGAAGTCAAAGATCAGAGAGATGGGATTTCAAGTTCAAGAAGAAATGTGGACCGCACCATTTTTGTGCGGCCGCATAATCAAGAGCGAGACCGCACTCATTTTTACGCGGTCTGCTGAAGTCTCACACAACCAGAGCTTAAGATCAAAGAGTGAGGACCACACTATAATTGTGCGGCCGCAGAAGCAAGAGTGCGGCCGCACTCACAAATGTGCGGTCCGTAGTAGGTGAAGGAGCCACAATCCAGAATTGTGCGGCCGCAGAACTGGAACCTGCCAAGCCAAGTCTCATTATGCGGACTGCACATATAATTATGCGGCCGCACAACCTCTGCAGGGGCATTTTTGTCAGTTATTTTTAACTTAATATAGATAGAATATTTTATCATTTTTAGGGGAAGTTTTTTTGGGGGGAGAGCACCTAAGCCGTTTTCCTTTAATGTTTTGAGTAATATTGTACTAGATTAGCTTCTAAACATTAAATTTTCTTTCCCTAATCAATTATTATGCATTCTATCTTAATTTCTTCTTTTATTTCTTTATTTTTCATGAGTAGCTAAATTTATAGCTAGGGTTGTGGCCCAACCCTAGTGTGGGTACTTAATGGGTGTTTGATTTAGGACTTGTTTGTGATTGGGTTAGTGATATTTAGCCTAGTTCTTACTTGAATTCAAGAATTAATGGTTGCAAACATTGATTCATGCCTAATTGATTTAGTCTCTACTTGAGAAAAAAGAGACTAAGTCTAGGAAAACTTTTCTAACAAGAAATTGGGTGAACTCAAGAAATTGATAGCCCCAATTAAAGGGTTGAATCTAGAGATAGTAAGACCCGACTTGAGAAATTATCACTTGTTTTGTGCAATACCCATTTGGACCTGAAAAAATCAAATTGGGCAAACCCACTCAAACTATCGAGAGGTATAAAGTGGGTAATTGCATGTGATTGCTATATTACAACCCCGACCAATCAAGCTTGTCTTAGAGTTTTCAACCCATTAGGTAACCACCTAGGTAGAAATTATGACCCTAGATCTTTTATCATTTGGAAAACAACCAAAACCAAAAATATTATCTTCTAGTTTTATAATTGCAATCAATAGTTTAAAGTAGAAGTAGAAACAACAAATAAGAATGTGGAAGTGTAATCTAAGGCATATTATACAATTACACTAAATATATACCTAATCTCAATTCTAACTCCTTAAGGATTCGACCTCGACTTGCGTTGGGTTTTATTATTGCTTCGACCGCCTCACTACCTATATTTGTGGTGTGAGTTTGGGCAACACCAACTATTGGCGTCACTACTGGGGAGTTAAACGGATTTAGCTATATATTTAAGTTTTTGTGTGATTTGTCTTCTTTTCCTTCGGAGTCACTAATTTTATTTTTTGAATTGCTTATAGGTACGATAATGGCTCTCAACAACGAGCCCATTGGTAATTTGCCAGTGGGGGAGGAAGTGGATGATGATCAAGGATATGAGGTTCTTCCCGAACCTCAACCAAATAGGTGAGGCCGATCGCCTAATGATAATGTTCACGTCCCTCCCCACCTCTACCAAGAGCGGCAGCGCACCGAGTGTTGCCGAACGAGGGTTATGCAAGTGCTATAATCCCGCCACGCATTAAGGCGGGCAACTTCCAAATCACCAACGAGATGCTTACACTACTTGAGCAACGGGGATTATTCACCGGGGCTCCAAATCAAAATTCTTACAAGCATCTCAAGGGGGTGGTCGATACTTTTTGGGGCAGCAAGCAAACCAATGTTTCTAAGGATGCGTTGAGGTTGAGTATATTTCCTTTCTCTTTATAGGGAAAAACATTGGACTGGCTAGAGAGATTACCCAATCATTCCATACATGGGATGAGTTGGCCGAAAAATTCATTGCCAAATTCTTCTCTCCTGGGCATATGGCTGCACTACATAATGAAATTCTAGCATTCGAGCAAGAGCCCAATGAGCCATTGTATGAGATTTCGGAAAGATATCGTACCATGGTTAAATAGTGCCCAAATAATGATATAACCAAGGCCATGATCAAACAAACCTTCTACAGGGGGATCGACACAACAAATCAATGTGTGGTAAATCAACTCGTCGGCGGGAACTTCATGAACACACCTTATGTCGAAGCTTGTGAAATTTTGGATGAGATATCAGATACCTCATCAGCATGGCAAAGTAGGGCCAATGTTCCGCAAGGTGACCCCAATGTCATTAACCTACACAAGGAACTACGTGATCATGGGTAAGCTATCACAGAGTTAACATCCACAATGAACTAATTGGCCAAAGCTCAGCTGCAATAAATTCAAGGGCCGAAACAAGTGAATGCGATGGAAGATGTAAATATGATGATGAACATGAGACGAAAAAAATGTCAACAATGGAAAAGCCATCCGAAACAATTCATGCAAGATGATAGTGGGTATGACCAAGGTGATTCATATAATGAGCTAGAAGAAGAAGTGCAATACGTCAACAATTATCAAGGTCAAAGAAACGATGCTCAAAATCAACAACAATGGAGATCACAAGAAAATTGGAACAACTAAGGCCACCAAGGCAATTGGAGTGGTGGCAACAACAATCAAAGCAATTGGAATAATCAAGGAAACCAAGGCAATTGGGGTGGCAACAATCAAAGTTACTGGGGAGGTAATCAAGGAGGGTGGAACAACAACAACAACCGGGGGTTGGGTTTTCAAAGGCCCTCGATGTTCCAACAACCAAGCAATCCACCCCCTATCCTTCTCAAGGCCCGAGCCCGATCTCTTCTAACAATGAGATGTGACAGATTGAAAGTATGTTCAAATAAATAGTGGAGAAAAATGCCGACTCTGATGCTCAATTAACCTCCCACAACATTTCAATCCGCAATTTGGAGGTTCAACTTGGCCAAATCTCACAAGCATTGAACACTCATCCTAAGGTGTCACTACCAAGTAATACAGTGGTGAAACCAAATGGGGGAATAATACGGGACATGCAATGGCCGTGATTTTAAAAAGTGGGAAAGGTGGAGTTACAACCACCACAAATCAAAGAAGAATTGTGGATGATGATGTTGTAGTTCAAGAAGATGAAATTCCAAGCAATGTGGTTCAAGCTAATGACAAAGTGAGAATTGATATTGATGAAAATGTGGAGGAGACGCAAGAAGAGGTGAACCCGTCTAGGGAGCACATGATTGACATACCGGAACCGGTAGTGCCAAAGGCTAAGGCACCAATGCCAAGGCCTCCTCATCCATACCCTCAAAGGCTTGCAAAGAAAAATAGTGAGAACCAATTCAAAAAGCTTATTTACATGATGAAGAGTTTGTTTATCAATGTACCATTGGTTGAGGCATTGGAACAAATGTCGAGTTAGTCAAAGTTCATGAAGGACTTGGTCACCAAGAAGAGGTCAATGAATTGTGAAACTATCAAGATGACCCATCAAGTGAGTGTTATTGTGCACTCAATGGCTCCAAAATTGAAAGATCCGGGTTCTTTCACAATCCCTTGCACTATTAGGAGTGCCGACTTTGCCAAAGCTTTATGTGATTTAGGGGCAAGTATCAACTTGATGTCCTACTCTGTGTTCAAAACTTTGGGAATTTTGAAATCAAGACCCACATCTATGAGGTTGCAAATGGCGGATCGGACTATGAAGAGGCCATTGGGAATTATTGATGATGTGTTAGTCCGTGTTGATAAGTTCATCCTTCCAGCGGACTTTGTGATCCTTGATTGTGAGGTTGACTACGAGGTGCCTATTATCTTGGGTAGACCTTTCCTTGCTACGGGGAAGTCTCTTGTTGATGTGGAAGCCGATGATCTCACTTTCTGGGTGGGTGACAAAAAGGTTGTTTTCCATGTGTGCAAATCGATGAGGCAACCAAATAGCAACGAAGTTTGTTCATTCGTGGATTTAGTGACCGAAGTAATTGTTGATGATGCTAGTGCTGTGATGAATGTTGAGGATACCTTGGAAGCTGTGTTGCTCAATCATGATGATGATGATGAAAAGGAAGGATTTGTGGAATGTGTCAATGCTTTTTAAGGAATGGGGTCATATACTTATGAACCCCGAAAATTGTCCTTAGATCTTGAGAACCGAAAGACTCCTCCAACAAAGCCCTCAATCGAGGAGCCTCCAACTTTGGAGTTAAAGCCTTTGCCTTCACATCTCAGGCATGAGTTTCTTGGCCCTTTTTCCACTTTAAATGTTATTCTTTCCTATTTCTTGACTAACATGCAAGTAGATTCTAATTTGGCGGTGCTCCAAAAGAGGAAGAAAGCGATAGGTTGGACTTTGGCGGATATTCGGGGTATAAGCCTCGCCTTTTGCATGCACAAGATTATTTTTGGAAGAGGATACCAAACCCTATGTGGAGCATCAAAGAAGATTGAATGAAGCAATGCAAGAGGTAGTGAAGAAGGATATCATAAAGTGGTTGGATGCCGGGGTTATTTACCCCATTTCCGATAGCTCATGGACTTCTCCGGTACAATGTGTCCCGAAGAAAGGGGGCATGACTGTGATAACTAATGACAAGAATGAACTGATCCCCACAAGAACTATCACCGGGTGGAGAGTGTGCATGGACTATAGGAAGCTCAATAAAGTCACTCGGAAAGATCATTTTCCTCTTCCTTTTCTTGATCAAATGTTGGATAGGTTGGCCGGATGTGCTTTTTATTGCTTCTTGGATGGATACTCCGGCTACAATCAGATTCTTATTGCTCTTGAGGATCAAAAGAAGAGCACTTTTACTTGTCCATATGGTACCTTTGCATTCTCGAGGATGCCATTTAGGTTATGTAATGCACCAACAACTTTTCAACGGTGTATGATGGTTATTTTCACCGATATGGTGAATATATTCTTGAGGTCTTCATGGACGATTTCTCCGTCTTTGGGAATTCTTTTGATGATTGCTTGAATAACTTGGACAAGGTATTGGCAAGATGTAAGGAAACTAACTTAGTTTTTAATTGAGAGAAACATCACTTCATGTTTGAGGAAGGTATTGTCCTCGGTCACAAGATTTCAAAGAATGGTATTGAGTTTGGTAAGGCCAAAGTTGAAGTGATCTCCAAACTCCCTCCCCTACATCCGTGAAGGGAGTGAGGAGCTTTTTGGGTCATGCGAGGTTTTATCGCCGATTCATCAAGGATTTTTCTAAGGTGGTGAACCCTTTGTGTAAACTTTTGGAGAAGGATGCCAAGTTCCATTTCAATGAAGATTGCATGAAGGCATTCGAGTTGCTTAAGTTCAAGTTGACTACTACTCCTATTATTACCGCACCGGATTGGAGCTTTCCTTTTGAGCTCATGTGTGACGCAAG